ACGGGGGCGGCACCGGCGAGCGGCGCTGCGGGACGGGCGACGGGCAGGAGGGCGAGGCCGGCGAGCGGCGCTGCTGGGGCGAGGGGCACGGGGGCACAGGAGAGCGGCGCTGCGGGACCGGGGACTGGCAAGGGGCGCACGGAGGCACAACTCGGGTAGGCGGGGAGGGCGAGGGGCACTGGGGGGATGGGGAGTGGCGCTGCGACAGCGGCGAGTGCCTCTGACCTGGAAGAGAAAGCAGGATGGGTGGGATGAGGGGAACGAAGGTGCTGAGGAAGACATCTGAAACGGTGGACCAATGCCCACCCACTCTCCATGCAAGAAAGTGGACGGTGGTGCCTAGGACGCAGAATGGTTGTCATGGCAACCCTCCCTCCCTCCACTGTTGGCCCTATGGGGGGTCTTCTTACCTCCACTGCGGGCCTGTTCCTGCAACAAGGTCCTCAAGATCCTCCCCTGCAAGGAACTCAACTCCCGAAGGCGGCCCAGCTCCTCGGTCAGTTCGGTGTAGGCCAGCGCCAAGTTCACCCTGAGGGCAGAAAGCAGGGAGTGGGGAAGAGGAGAGAGCTCTACAGCCCCAGCTACCAGGAAGAACCGGTTCTGTCCTGCATCTGCCCCCACCCCCAAGACCCTCTTACCCCAACTTCAGGAATCCTTTCTGCCCCTAAAGTCCACATCAAAGGCAACTTCCTCCAGGGAGCCTCACTCTGGTTAGAAAGAACCATTCCTGGGGCTGGGACAGAGGTTCTTGGGGCTAAAGGGACAGGGAGCAGAGAGATTCCAAGGGTCCCTGAATCCCCATCTGTGGCCTGAACACAGCTGATACAGGTATGTGTGAATGTTTTCCTAATCTGTGCAGAAGCTGTGATGACAAAACAGACTCATCAAAAAGCTGTACTTTTGTCATTTCAAATTTTCTCAGAGCTTGCTTGTAGTATGTACTACAAGTATTACAATCCATGTGCTGTGGGGGAGGGGTCCATGAAAAGAACCCTTATCTTTGAAAAGGTTGGAGACTACTGCCTACCTATGATGAGCCCATTCGTAAGAGAGGACAGCCTCTGGCTAGCAGACACCAACAGATAAACTTAACCCTGAGTTGGCCCCTTTCCAGCCCACTGATCTTGCCTTGACCTCAAAGTTGCCTCTGGGGCTCTTTTCAGCCTTACACTTCCCAGGCCCTCTTACTGTACAATTCTACCTAGCCCTTTACAATCAGAACTTTGTGAGCAGCTGCTATGCACTACACACCTGCAGGGGAGGCCATCCAAACTGAGCACTTCTCAAAGGCTACCTTCTTCTGGAATTTTATTGGGAGTTCCTTGAGGGCAGGGATTACATCATTATATTCACCTTCCCACACCTTGTCCAGACCCTGGACCCAGTCTCTGGTATCCAGAAGTTCAAGTAAGTGAATAATGAATTGAGCCTCTCCATCGGTTGTTCCTCTTTCTTCTTCCCTCTTCTTCCTCACTTCCTGCTATCTGCTCCTGAGCACACACCCTCATGGAGCTGGAACTAGGTTTAGCAAGGGACCTCACCACATCTTGTCTTCCTTTCTCTCTGGGTCCCTCTGAACCTAGAACCATGGAAGGTTATTACACCAGCCCTGCCCCTCTGCTTTCTCTCACGGTGCCCTGTCAGCCTCCAGAAGCCCTCTTTTTTCTTTTCTTTTTTTCTTAATGGTACTAGGGGTTGAACTCAAGCCCTTATACTTGCTAGGTAGGCAGGTGCTCTACCACTTGAGCCACTCTACTAGCCCCTCCTTTTGGTTTTAGTTTGTTTTTTTTAGATAGGGTCTTGCTAATACACACACCCCCCTTCCCACCCACCAGGAATTTCAAGTAGCTGGGACCACAAGTGTATACTACCAGGCCTGGCTTGTTTTTTGAAATAGGGTCTTTTTTTGTTATTGGTTTCAGATTTGAACTCAGGACTTCACACTTGCTAGGCCAGTGCTGAGGCTTGAGCCACACCTCCAGCCTGAGATATAATCTTGCTAAACTTTTTACCTCAAACAGAGATCCTCCTAACTCTGCCTCCTGATTAAATGGGATTATAGCTGTGTGCCACCATACCCAGCCACCCTCCAGGAGCCCTTCTGACCTCAGAGGAGGCTTGGCCACAGTCTTGGGACCTACCGTCACCTCAGTTCTGGGCTTGGACAAAGCCTGGGAGCTAAAAGCAGGGATTTGGGTTTCCTTGGCTATCCTTACTTTCCCAACTTCAGAACTTTGGAAGTCAGAGTCAGAGCTGGAGGGAAGTAGCAGATATCACTCCAGGTGGAGCTCCACCCAGGGCAGTGGACTCATGAAGGAAGATATACATAGACAGAAGGGGCTATGGGGAGGGTTGAGACCAGTCTGATGAGTGTGACGAAAGGGGTGTGTGTGCGTGACCCCACAGGAGGGGAAGCAATGAGATTAGGACTTCAAGCACAGAAGAAGCCCAGGTGAGACTGCAGATGACTGCCATCCTTCACTCTGGCCCACTGGCTGGGGCACAGCTGAGGGGTGGAGGGTGGGGGAAACAGCCCCTCCTACAACAAAACCACTTATAATTCAATTGGACCAAAGTGTTGTATTTGGCAAGTCCACTCGGGGAAGGCAAGTCCTCACCACCCATCTTCTGAGGGAGGAATCCTAGGAAGCCTCTCCAAGGTCCTGTAGTTGTGATTCCACTGCATAGAGGTCCCCATGTTTGCTAAATGTATCCTGTGCTCCCCTCACCCCCACTTTATCTCATGGATCTGTGGGAAGAAATGGCATCTTCCTATCAGAATGAAAGGTTCATGTGTGTCCCACATCAAACTGGGGACTCCACTAGGCTGGCCTCCCACTTCAAACTGAGGGCAACCTAAGGGCAGAACTGTGCAATCCACTCAGGAGAGGGGAACAGCAGGATCTCTGGACAGGGCACTAATGTAGTGTTACACAGCTGCGGTTGCTTTTCCCATCCACCTTCCCTGCTGTATCTCTGACGACAGATACAGGTCGTTGCCTTCACACCCTGCCTGGGAGATCTCACCTGCCATACTCAGTTCCCAGGCCCCATCTCTTCTGCTTCCCTTCCTCCCTTTTCAGGTGTCACCCTAGTTTCCACAGCCTGGCTCTTGGCACCCTCTTCACAGTAACACGGACAGGGCCACAAGAAATGGAAGGAGGAAGTCCCTAGCCTAGAATGCCCAGCCCCTCTCCCAGCTGACACTGGGGGCCTAGAGAAGGCAGAGCCTGTCCCTGTTCTCCAAGTCCCAGTCCACTCTCACAAAGACCACTTAACCCGGGTGCTGGTGGCTCATGCTGTAATCCTAGTTACCTGGGAGGCAGAGATCGGGAGGATCATGGTTTAAGGCCAGCTGGGGCAAATAGTTTACTAGATCCCTGTCTCCAAAATAACCAGAACAAAATGGACTGGAGTTGTGGCTCAAGCAGATCTTAAGACCCTGGAAAAGTACAATCTGACCTCCTAACAACCCATGGCCCGATGGGACCTGTCCTTTCACTGGGCATACACATGAGGCCGCTGAATATGCTAACCGCCCAAATGACTCACTGATAAACACTGCCAATTCAGTGGAAAAAAATTTCAGCTTTACAACACAACCAAGAGCTGCACACATGCACCTAACTACACTGTTTCCTGGCCACACCTGAGCACTTTTGCACCATCATGACTTTGGGAAGAAAGGTTCAGGTGAACGGTACTAGATACTTAGATTACAGGGAAAAAAGACAGTCTGTCAGAACCTGAGAGGGACTTAGGGAGAAAAGCATGGTACATGATCTGTATGAGTGCTAATCACAGACCAGGCACTGTATGCTAGGAACTTCATTTGTCTTCACAACAACTTTCCAACATTGCTACCATTGTCACCACTGCCACCATTATCCATTTTACAGATGAGAAAACTAAGGTGCACAGAAATCACTTGACTAAAGTCCAAACGCCCAGTAGTTGAGCTGCTGTGATGACAGTTCCAGCTTGCAGGACTCCAAAGTCCAGGCTACTGACCACTATCCATATACCTCCCAAACAATTAGCAAAGTGTAGAGAAGTGAAGGTAGCAGAAGGGAAAAAGGAGGAGGTTGGGGATCTTGGAAGTAGCCTGGGAGCCTTAAAAACCGCCACCCCTACCCAGGGAGGGGACAAGGTGCTAAACATACATGGAAGTGGAAGATCAGAGTGATTATAAGCTAGCGCAAGGTCACAGACCAGTGGTGGCATAGAGCAGAGATTAAAACACTTGCTCTTGGCACCTCTGTCCACTAGGCTGGCACCTTCAGAGGAGGTGAGGTGCAAATGACACCCTAGACTGCAAATCATTCCACCTTTCATTCATTCTTTCCACAAATAATACAGGGGTCTCAAAAAGTCTTCTGGAAGCAATCATCTTCACTGTTACTGATAAAGCAATGGTGATCAGGAAGGTTAGAGCCCTGTGTATCCCCTTCTGGGCTTCTTTCTATCTCAAACCAGCTGCTGAGCCACACAGGCTCCTGTATGCTCTGTGCTGCACTGAAGCAGAAAGGATGCAGTGGAACCAAAATTCAGGGTGGCGCCCAGATGATGGGATTAGAACTGGAGATAGGTCTGAAGTCATGATGAAAGCTGGGGTCAGGGTCAAACTAGGCATGGGGTTGGAAATTCTTCTGTGGCCAAGATTGTGGGCATAGTTGGGGGGTCAAGATTAGGGATAAGGTTAGAATCAGGGATGGGCTTAGTATTAAAGACTGGGACTGAGGGGGCTAGAGGTGTGGCTCAAGTGATAAGAGTGACTGACTAGCAAGCACAAACCCCAGTACCAACAAAAAAAAAAAAGAAAAAAAGATTGGGACTGGGATCAGTACTACAGTTATCATGTGGGCAGAATCATCTGATTCAGAATTGGGAAGAAAACAGAAATCCAGCATTCCCAGTCATTCCATCCTCATCCACAGCTGCCTCCTGCTCCCCCAGCCACTTCACCCATGGGGGAATTTAGGGGCCAAACTTTCCACCACCCACAGGCACACCCTGCATCAGTCTTCCCGCCCGCCCGACCCTCAGGGAGGGGACTATAGGCACCGGGCCGTGGAGCGGACTTGAGGTTGCGGGCGGGGGGAGGAGGAAGTTGCTTGCAACAAGCCAGTGCTCCACCACTTCCTTTCCGGCGCCTTGAGCCTTCACTCTCCTCACCAGCTATGACTTGTGGTCCCCAGAGCCTAGCTCTTTATGGTAGCTCCTGCCAGGCTTCCAATAGAATCGATGTCCACTGTGTCTTGAAGCCTCCCCAGATGCAGCAGAACTGAGCAGCTCACAGTGTGGTAGGAACCAGGGGCCCCATTTTGTTCAGAACTATCCAGGTTCACACTAGCTGCCCCAGCACAATTATTAATAGTGCCCCTTTCACTTTCAAAAGTGATATGATTTGGTCAACAAATCACATGGTTGCCCCTCTTAAAAGGGCCTCCTACCTGCAGAAGAACCCAAATAGGAAAATACCCTGAGTCCCATTGCCCCACCTGCTGGGGAGCTACCTGCTCTCTACATTGCCCTTCTCAGGTTACTTAATTTCTGGGTACCTCATGTTTATGGGAATGAAATGAGATCTTGCTGGTACATCACCAGGCCTAGTATGCTGCGTAGAAAAAGAAGCCAGGGAGTGCGTGGGAGATAGGTGGGGAAATGGGGAAGCTCATTTTGAGATTTTTTTTTAAGACATAAGCTTAAGACTTGGTTTAGGAAGGAGGGGAGGATGTGGAGTTTCCCATCAGGGAACCGGCACAGTGAGAGCTCTCTTGGTCTGGCTGGTGGGCACAGAATTGAACCAGAAGATGGGTTCAAAGCCTACCAGTTTGAGAGTCTCTCCCACCCTCGGGGAGCCCAGCCCAGAGGTTGCAAGTGCTCAGAGGTTAATTCTGGGTGCATGGGGTGCCCAGGCTGAAGGAGACTTGAAAGAAAGGAAGTAGGGAGGGTGAGAAGCGTGAAGGGGGAGGCCCTGGGCCCGCTGGTTCTGGGGCACGAGGCTAAGTTCAGGGTATGCGGGGGTCTCCGACTTCCGTCCTGACCCACCCCACACTGCCCTTGACCTCCGTGCAGAGTTTCCATCCTCTCTCTCCGAGTTCACACTTCCCCACCACTAACCACAGCCCACGCAGAGGCTTGTGGGCGGAGAGAGGGGGGTGGGAGGGGTGGGCGGAAAAGGGCCCAGACTGCAACACTGAGCCCCCCACGTTGGGAAAAAAGAAAGGCCTATAGTCTATGGTTTTCCTCTCATCACCCATACAGAGCCCCTTCTCACTGGGCCCTCACACCAATGAGGCCTCTCCCTCCCTGAGCCCTCATTCTCCTTATGGAGCCCCTACCTCCTCAGAGCCATCATCTCCCTCAAGCAATGCACCTCCGCCATCCCCCAGCACTGGCCACCCTCTCTCACTCCCACTGAGGAACCCACAAGCCCAGAGGGGAGGGGGCCACTGGTCCTGCACCTCTAACTTTGGCTGGGACTCTACTGGGAGTCGTTGTCTCCTTGTGTATTCTTAGGAACACAGTGGGCTCCACTCCCATTTCCCTCATCGCCTTTGGCCCATGAGTATATTCTTACAGGTTCTACCTCTGGAGCAATTACCCTCCTAGGCTTTGGTCAAGAGGACCTGGGCTAACAAAAGGGAACTCTTGTCCTAAGGTCAGATTTGGAGGGTGGCAGTTTGATCTGGTCAGGTCTGGGTGCCTGTTCGCAAAGGAATGATGATAACTAGTACTCATGGGTTGGGCTGGGAATCAAGGGCCTGGGAAACCTGGGACTGCCTGTTCCTTCAATTCAGACAGAACCAGAAAGGGGTTTGGAGGGGCAAGACCATTATAAAGACAAAATTTTAATGGTGAGGATTCTCACAGTCAAACTAGCTCACCATGTGTCCAAGCTGAAGCAACTTTCATAATATGAAAGAACTGCATCCCCTTCGGCTTTCACACCCCCTACCCCCCTACCTGGATAATCCAGCCCAGCATTCCACTCCTAGAATGTAAAATTCTCACTAGCCCACAAGATCTGCAGATGCAAAAGGAAGAAGGGACTGGCAGAAAAAGAGCTGAGAGCAGGTAACTGAGGTTCCTCAGGTGGGAGGATGGGAAGGAGCCCTTGGGAAGCACCTATTACCAAAAGGGGCTGAGTTTATAAGAAAATAAAACTACTGGGGGAGTGAAGATTTCCTCTGATAACAAACTTCTGCCAAGCTGGGGCTATCCAGCTCCCTGAAGGGGAGTATGTGGCTAGGCAGGCAAGACCTGGCTGACTGCGGACATGGGGACTAGGCATAGGCAACCACAGGCAAGGAGAGCAGGAACCAAAGGTGTATGGTAGGATTGGCTCAGGCCTGAGTCCTGAGCAGGGCCAGCTACCTCTGGCTGAAAGGCCTGGTGGGGCAGGTGTCTTGGGGCAGTAGGGAGGGGTTGCTCTGGCCGGAATGAACAGTGCAGATCACAGGACCTCTAGAGTACCTTGTGGGGTGGGCTCTCTCAGCACTTGAGGCTCTGGCCCCTGGGGATCCACTGTCCCTCTCTGCCCCTCCCCATGATTGACCTTACTTTCCTCTTACATTTCTCAGCAATGACTGACTCCTGCACCCAGGAAGGAAACCTGGGGTATAGAGAAGTAAAGTAAAAGTAAAGCAAAGCCACTCCACAAGTCAGGAAAGGTCCCTGGGACTCAAAAGCCTAGACGGTTACAGTCTAGCTCTGTCAGTCTTGCCTCACAGTTCCACCAATTGGGGGAGTCTTCACTGTTGGTCTGATGAGGGGGTTAGACTCACCGATCCACAGGGGGCCTTCAGCATGACTTCTAGGGCAAGCTAAGATTCTAGAACACATGTGTCTGTATGTCCTCCAAATCTGAACATATGGGCAAAATGGGCACAGAGCTCTAGCCACAATCTAGGGTGGACCCTCTCTGCAAAGCCTCCGCAGCCTGAGGGGTCCCTCCCAATAGTCTCACAAACTGGGTTCTCACCTTCCCAGCTATCACAGCTCCACCCAGGCCCTCACCCCAGGGTGGGGAGGAAGGTGAGGGGCATTTCCAGTTGGCTAGAAGCTGGGAAAATGGGGAGGACGCTTATTGGGAAGGAGGACCCCAGGGGTCCTAGAGCTGGGTATGCTGTGTGATAGAGTTAGTTTCTGCCCCCTCTACACCTTAGTCTTCCCCTCCAATGAACATAGGGAGTTTATGCTACTTGCCTCATCTCAGGGGAGAGGACTTAGGCGGAAGGAGGTTTGAGCTCTATTTCTCAGAAAGCAGGAGAGGATGAGTTCGGGTGTAGATGTGAAAGGTACCAGATTCTACTGCCGCTGCATTGTTTATCCAGCCCTTTCTACCCAGCACTCCCCCAGAGGCCCTATTGGCAGGCTCCCTACCAGCATGGCTCCCATCCTACTTCCTGCACCAGCCTGTTTCTCTCCCAGCCTGACACCTCAAAAAGAGATGGGCTTGGTCCTAGAGGAAGCACAGGGAGCCCCAGAAGCTGAACATTCCAAAACCCCCTTCTTCCTGTGATGAGGCAGAACAAGCACCCCAGACGCCACACCCCTGAAGCCTGGAAGAGAGGTCACCCAAATAACACAGAGGGTGGAAAACAAATTAAGGGAGACATGGGATCACCTCCCCACTAGTTAAGAGGTTAAGAGGGCGAGGGTTACAGACATGACTTACTGATCATCCCCAACTCTCTTCACCCACGCCATGTCCCGCTCAGACTGGTTGGAGATCAGATCCTAAGAGTAAAGATGAAGAGGTTACAACTCAGAATCATCCTTGCCTAGATCTTGTTCTTGCTATTCCGTCTGTGCTCCTGGACCTCTCAGGGCTACTCCCCACTTTTACCTGGGCCCTGGTCTCCTGCAGCTGCTTCAACTCCCCCTGCAGCCGCTCACATTCAGCCTGGAGCTGCTCCTCCCGGAGCTGAGCCCCCCGAGCCTCCCCCTGGGCAGCCTCCAGGGCCTCTTCTAGTCGTCTCCGCTCCAGCTCACTCACACTTGGCGTGGGGCCAGGCCAGCCTGTTGTCAGGGGACAGGAAATTGTCAGGCTGCATCCAGATGCCTTCACTGACTCCCAGATCCACACAAAGTGAAACAGGTGGGGAACTTAGCATGAGGGACCAAAAGAAGCCAGAAGAACAAGCACTGGAAGATGAGAGATGCCATTACAAGACAGTGAGAAAGGATGGGCTGACTGCTGCTGCTGATCTTGCTGGAGGCCAAGTCAAAAATGAGATGGCCTCTGGAGGGTATCCCAGGTCAGAGTCGTCTAGAACATCCTCACAGGCCTGTCCTAATCACAACCTGAGACAGGTACTCTGTGTGGGGGCGCCCTCTGCTGACACACCTACAGATTGCAATGGGGTTGCCAGGCACAGAGAATGACTGAGTTCAAAAGCGCACAGCAGCACCAGCAGCTGAGGAGAGGGAACAGTTGGTAAGGGTAGGATAAGGTGATTATTGGACAAACTGAAGATACTGTAATGGGGTTTTAGATAAGGTAAAGGTGTCCAGGGGTGATGAAATGAGGGTTAGGTTTGGGGACTTGCGGATAGGGAGATTGGGGGTCACTGATCTCACCGTGACCCAAGGCAGTTCCCCCTCTCAGTGCCAGGTAGTGCAGGTCCAGGTCAGCACAGGGCGGGGCAGGGGCAGGAGGGGGACTCAGGCTGGGGAAGGCTGTGTCCCGGAGCCCTTGCTGCTGCTTCAATTGTTGCTCCAAGCCACAAATCTGCCGCAGGTGGGTCTCCACCAGGGCCCGCTGCAGGGGGAGGCAGAAGTTTGAGGGTCTACATAAGGCCAGGGGAACCCCTGTGGACTCCCCAAATGCAGGACTCCTCCATTCTGGATAGTCATTACTCCCCAAACTAGAATAGAGGCTTCTGGAACATCCCATGCTCACACTCCACGTGACCACGAGTGTGAGGCCTCCTCTCCTAGCACCTGCAATGCAGATGTTTCTGGCAACTGCCCCTGGCAAGGTCACAGCAAATACCTCTTCTCTGTCATTAACACACAGGACCATTCATAAAAACACTCAGCCCTGTGTCCAGCCACTGCCACTCCCTTAGGAGCATGTAACTTCCATTTGCCCATGTGATTTAACCACTTCTGTGCTTCCTCAACCTCTTGCAACATGGAGATAACAGTACTGTGCCTACCTCTTCTGATTGTTATAAAGGCTGTAAAGAGTATGTGTAAAAAAGGTAAGAATGGTGCCTGACACATAGTAAGTGCCATATAAGCAAAGTACTTTTACACGAACGCCCTGTTACCTTCACCACAGCTTAGTGAGGTTGTTATGTGCCCCACTTTTTTAGCGGAGAGATGGAAAGTTAAGTGATTTGACCAAGGTCAAAAGCTAGGAGTTGGCAGGGCCATGTATCCTGGTTCTAACAACTGCACACACCTGCTCACACACACGTGTTCACACACATGCCCATTCTGATTACACATATACCGAGACCTATCCCAACAGTCACAGACACTCCTGATCACCTCTGCCTCACCCCCAACCCCAGCACAGTGCTACTGGCACAGGGTGCACCCAGTGTGAGAGCTAAACATATACACCAACCCACTGTATCCCACAGGGTCACTGCATGCCAGGTGTACAGAATCACCCCACAACATATGGTCTCACTGGCAAGGCCAAGCAGGCACTTACAGATACACATCTACAAGCAAGGTGCACACCACAAACAGGGTGGGGTCACAGGCACTCACAAGACTGAAAGTTGAGACACTGAATTACACACAGAACACCAGGTACATACTACAGCTGCCCCACTCCCTGGGTCTCACCATCTCCCCCAGCTCCATCTCCAAGTCATTCTTCTCCACACAGAGTTTCTCATAAGCCTGGATCATCTCCCCAAGCTGTTCTTCCTGCTCCTTGTTCTTCTGCAACTGGATGGACCCAGAGGGGCAAACCAGTCAGGCACATGCTTGAGTTTGGGAAGAGGAGCTCCCACACCTCCCCACACCCACTTCCAGCATCCCACGAATGGGGAGGAGTAACTGTAGCTGGTTTAGGGAAGACCATGGCCATCTCTGATTAAAGAAGCTGAAGGGCTGGCACCGTGGCTCATGCCTATAATCCTAGCTATTCAGGAGGTGGAGATTAGGGGGATTGCAGTATGAGGCCATCTGGGTAAAATGAAAGCAAGACCCTATCTCAAAAATACCCAACACAAAAAAAGGGCTGGCAGAGTGGTTCAAGTGATATAGCGGCTGTCTAGCAAGCATAAGGCCCTGAGTTCAAATGCCAGTACTGAGAAAAAATGGAGCTGACAGCCAGAGGCTAGGGTGGAGATCAGGAAGAGGCAGTATCAGAAACAGACCAGATCATGGCAGGAAACTCAGGGAGCTGGGCTGGCTGGGATGACAAGTGCTCACCTCATGCTGGAACTGGTTGAGCTGTTGTTGCAGACTGACCTTCTCCACCTCCAGCAGGGAGCCATCCTTGATTTCATATAGAGAGAAGCCATGCTCTTCTCCAAAGTCACTGATCAGCGGGTACTGTGGGAGGGCAGTCCTCAGGAGAAATGGCACCTGGCTCCTAGCCCATGCCTCAGCCTCACCAACCTGCCTCAGAGTCCCCATCTTTCCCTCCCCTCTCTAGTGGGATCTGTAACTGCAAATCTGATCCCTCCAAATTAGCAGCTGAGCACTCAAAAGTTCAAATCCAAAGCAGCCACACTGATTAGGGAAGACCCTCCAGTTCCCAACAGTGCATTCTGACCCCCCCTTCTGGATCTCTGGAATCAATGCTGGACCCCCAGTTCCTACTACACCCCCTTCATCTTCAGTTTCTGACCTTGATCTCGTAGACTTTAAGCCGTCGACGCAGAGTAGCATTCTCCCTCTCTAGGCCCCCTAGCCGCTCTTTGATGTCTCCATAGGCTGTGATGAGGGCAAAGTGGGAGGCGGAGCACATGTCACCCCCCAGCGAAGGGTCTCCAGGACCATCCAGCCACACCTCACTGGGCCCCAGGGCCTCCTGGGTTAGGATGCTAATGTCATCTTCAAACATGGATTCCATGATAAGGGCCACGGCCCACACTGGGCCTCCTGGGAGAGCAAAAACAACATGAAGAGAGCCACTTGGAGCTTGTCCCCAGATCCCTGGTCTGAAGCACCCTATGGCCCACTGAGAAGGAGCCTGGAAGCTTTCAGCAGAACAAGGGACTTCCACAGCCCTTTGCCAAAAGAGTGAGTCCTATTCTCCTGCTGCTGCCTTTGGGAGAAGGAGCTGGAACCAGGGGAAGACTGGAGGACGGTGGGGTGGGGGGAAGACAGTTGATAAGCAGAGATAAGAAAGGCAGGTCAGCAGCAGAGAAGGGCTCCTTCCAGAATCCAGGGAGACCTGTGAATGGGAGGATCTGCCTTTCCAGCAGGGGCACACGGTTCACTACTCAGCCCCATCTCCACCCTAGACTTCCCCTTTCCCAAGTACCTTGCCAGCCACAAAAGTCCTCATTCCAGGTCCATGGCACCACCAGGCCCCTCCCTAAGGAAGCCCAGTGCTTCTGGAGGGCCAGTCCCACCAGTCAGCCGGGCCTCGCAGGTCCCCGCCCAACTTCCCCGCTTCCTCCCGCAGGATCCCAGAGTTCAGGAAAAGGAAGTGCCTCTCCGGTTGCACCGGGGCTGGGGCAACCGTCCAAGCTATCTGGGCCCCTGACCTGGGACCTACAGGAAGTCCTTGGCTGAGTGTCAGAGGGAGCAAACTGGGCAAGGGGTCTCAGAGGAAGAGGGACGCTAAGAATGACCCTAGCCTGTCCCAGTATGCTTGCACACAGGGAAATGGGGAGCCCAGGGAGGGGGCAGGAATGACTCAGGGCTCCCGAAGAGTAGGCAGCGAGGGGGTGCGTGTGTACTTCTCCCAGCCCTGTTTATGAATGTGTGTCTGTGGCTGGCATGTGGGGGGAGTGTGTGTCTGTGAATGAGTGTAGGTGTGTCACAGTCAATGAATGCCTTTGCGGGGCGGAGGGTGGGGGTCGGCACGGAGTTGGGAAGCTGTGTGTGTGCGCGCGTGTGAGCACGCGTGCGTGAGCGTGTGGAACGGGTGGGCACGTTCGGGCCGTGTGTCACGTGAGGCACTATGGGAATGTCCGAGGTGTGTGCGCGCGCTGGAGCGTGTGTGCGCCTAGGCGAGGGGGCTCGGCGCTGAGGCACGAGTTAAGATAGTAGGGTGTCCGACCTCCTCAAGCTGCGCTGCAGGAGCTTGGGGTGCATAAGCTCGGGCGCAGGCCCCAAGACCCCCACCCCCAGCCTCATCTAAGTGCCAGAGAAACGCGTGTGACTGGGTCTGAGTAAGGAGTGTGTGCGTGTGTTTGTAGGGCTGGCCCCACCTTTAACCCTGTCCTGCCCACGCCATCCCCTCCCCCTACTCAGCTCGCCGGCGCTCACCACCGCCCCCCCGACCCTTGCTGTCATCTCGGGCCTACCCCCACTTGCGGATTCGCTTCCCCGGGTCGCCCGACCCTTGCCTCCTTTCTCTTCATTCTCCTCCCGGAACAGTCGCAAGGCGAGAGAAGGCGACTGGGGAGGGGGTACCTCTGCCGGCCCGGGCCCCTTCTGCGGCCCCTTTAAGAGTCGCCCTTTAAACCCCTTCAGCTCGGCCGACAGAAATGGTCGCCCCTCCCCTCTCGGGGGCTGAAACCACACAGCCCCCTCCTCCGCTGCTGGCTGAACCCTGAGCCTAGGCCCCCAGGCTGCTCTCCCCGGGCCGGGCAAGGGGCTCCGGAGGCGGCACGGCCTGACGCGCGGTGGCGGACCGGGCCCGGGGACTGCGGGAGGCCGACGCCGGACCCTTAACCCTCTCAGTCACCCAGTGTAAATTGGCTGCCAACCTCCCACCCCCTCCTCCGGCCTACCCCGCGACCCCCGCGACCCCCGCACGGGCGCCGCTCCCCTCCTCCGCCCTAGCCCCGGCCAGGGACTCACAGCTGCCGCCGGTTCCTGCTTGTAATCTCAGCTTACCCCCTCCGCCTGCTCCCTCCCCAGACGGGCACCGGTGCCCCCACCCCCCCTGGCACCGCGCTCTGCTCCTCGCCCTGTCGCCGCCGCCGGGTCTCTCCCCACCCCCCCACCCCTCCCCCCAACCCCCTCCCTCCCGCCCGCCCGCCCCGCTCCTCCTCCGCCGCCGCCGCCGCCGTCTCCTCCGCCTCCTCCTCCCCGGCTGCTCCCGGTTTCTCCAGCTGGGAAAGGCGCCCCGGACCCCGCTGCTACCACCACCACGTGGTGAGGGGCGGCGGCCCCCGCGGGGCGGCCCGGTTGGGCCTGGCAGCGCGCCCGGCGCCCACCGGCTCCCTGCCGAGCAGCCGGCCGGCGCGGCTGCCCCCTCCCCGACGCCTCCCGGCGCAGTGTGGCGTGGTGGCGTGTGTTGGGGGCGTCTGCGGACAGTGCAGGGGCGCCGCTGGTGCTTTTCGGTGGTTTGGTTTTGGGGCCTCATATTTTGGGAGGAAGTGGAGCTGGGTTTTTTTTGTTTGTTTTTGTCTTTGCCTGTTTAAGAAGAAAATTATTGGATCTACCCACTCTGCTCTCGGACGAGGGGGCATCTCTCTGCTATATCCACTTAACACAGGGTGTAATCGGAGAGATTATAGAGTTAGGTAACTTTGAAAGTGAGAGTGAACTACGGAAGTCAAATGTTCATTTAGGAAAACGGACAGCCCTCTCCACCCCCCACCCCCCCAATCACAGAAGCGCCCACAGGCCGGAGAAATGGGGAAAAAACAAATCTTTTCACAAAGATTATTTGAGCATCCCAAAACTGCTGGGGCAGGAGATGCAAATTTTGTTGTTTTTTTACTTTCCGACACTTTTCCACTGTGTGACCTTGGACTAGTTACTTAGCCTCTGAGTTCCTGCCACCTTTATGGGGAAAGAATAGGGATCAGAACTAAAGGTGTCCTGTGAATGCTTGGGAGGTGTTAATGAGTCATTTTATTCCCTGGTGAACAGAGCAGGGCCAACCTAGCTGCGGAATGACCAGGAGAAAGCGCAAACCCTGCAAGCAGGACATAGGCCAGAGAAGGGTCCTTTGGTAGGGTCAGCATTTTGCTGTGAAGGCTACTGGAAACCTGAGCTCACCTTTCTGGCTCCTGGGTCAGGGGCTGCATCTGAGAGGAAGAGGGTGAAAGAAAAGGTCTCTTGCTTTGTGTGAGCTTTGAGAGGCTAGGACAGCTGCCATCTTCCCCACTGTAGGGAGAAGGCTGGGCTGAGGTTTGCTGCCCCTCCCCTGATGGCCTGCAGGAGCTCTGGACTGTCTTCAAAAGAGGGGATTCTCACTGGCTTCTCCTCCTCCTATTGGTTTCCCTTGCAGCCTTTCCTGCTGGCCTGCTCCCTTTTATAGTCCAGAACAGGAAGGCAGGTCAGCCACTTGCACTCTGAGGCACTAGCTTTCTCTGAACTATGTGGGATGACCCATCTATCCTCTAGATATGAAAACAAGCTGGTTTGGGACATCCATCACCCCATTAATCCCAAGCTAATCAATCCCAAGGGCAAGGCAGGTGTCCCTCTCTTTGATGCTCCACAAATTCCCTTCTGAAGCAGAAAAACATGCAAGATTAGAACTTAGACCAGAAGGTGTGGTGGAGATGTCTCTGCAACTCCACATGAGCGTGAACTTGACCACATGCCAGTCAGGTACTCTCTGAGCAAACTCTCAGTGAAGAATTGTCAGCGCCTGCAGCTGCTTGGATACTCAGGGAGCAGGTCTGAGTGACCAGGTGAGGTGGAGCCAAGTGGTCTGGTCTGGATTCTAGATGGCTGGTGGCAGAAGCCCAACAGAGGTGAGGCCTGGTTTAGGTGCCTTGATATATGCTCCTCCACAAATTTGGACATTCTCTGTTTCTAGGGTATTTTTTTTTTGGGGGGGAGTTGGTACTGGGGATTCAACTCCGGGTCTTGTGCTTGCTAGGCAGGCTTTTTACCAGTTGATACTCTGGGAAGCAGTACTGGGGTTTGCACTCAGGGCTTCACACTTGCTAGGCAGGTGCTCTACTACTTGAATCATGCCTCCAGCCCTTTTTTTTGAGATAGGGTCTTGCTTTATGCCCAGGGCTAGTCTGGACTGCCATCCTCCTATTTGCACTTCCCCCTGTAGCTGGGATGACAGGTGTGCACTACTGCCCTCAGCCACTGGTTGAGATGGGGGTTTCCCAAACTTTTTGCCCAGGTTGGCCTTGAACCTTCATTCCTCCAATCTTCAACTCCCAAGTTGCTAGGGTTACAGGCTTAAGCAACTATGCCTGGCTGTAAAGCAATAATTTTTAAAAAGAAAAAAAGATGAATCAAGACAGTTACAACTGCTTCATAGTTGTCTGGGAAGGTCTGATGATGTGGCATTTGAGTTAAATCCTAGAGGGTAAGGCGTGTCCTTTGTTGAGTGAATAAAGGAATGAAACTGTGACTTGAGAGTATTTAATTCACTTAGGAAATCTGGACATTCCTTCTAACAGCCCTGAAATATCCAGGCTGATCATGGAGGAGACAGAAGAAGGGAGAAATGAGGGGTATGGTAAGGGGAGGTGAGGTGGGATCTAAAGTAGGAGAGGGGAACTGGGTGGATGCTGGGCAGGTCCAAGCTGTAAAATCCTGACTGGCCTTTCCAGGGCTGTTGGAGAGGACCAGCAGCCAGTCTACTGGGAGGAGAGAGCACCAAATCAGGACCCCATCAAGCTTCCTCCTTGGTAACCAGCAGGGAGACACTGTCTCCCACTCCCATGACTCTTGCTCTGGAGAAAGACTTTGTCTTTCATGTCCCATTCTTGCCTGAAAAGAGTAGGAGGTGGCGTTAGACTAAATAAAAATAAAACCCAGATGACTCAAATAGAATCTGGTAGGCAGAAAAATTGATTAGACACATGTGACAATGCAGTCTGGTGCCACTGTTGCCCCCATCACCCTCCCCACCCTGCTCCAGGCCTTAGAAAATTAGGATCACTATGAACCATCCTGGGCCTCCAAGGACAGCTGCATGTCTCTTGCAGACCAGAAGTGAGGACAGCATGGGAGACCCATTCCTATGTCCCTGTGGAGGTCATGTGCAACCTCAAAGCGAGCGAATGCCTCCAGAGAGTTTGGGAAGGAATAGGGTGTATTGTGTTCTGTTTTCTCACAACTCTGAATTTGCTATATATGCTTCTTTTTCCTCACAACCATATTCATTTCTGTCTCCCACTATTTTTATCTTTTTTTTTTAATTTTAAGGAAATTTATTTTACATTATCTTTTCCTTTAAAAATTTTTTTATTGTATTATTGTACTGGGAGTACATTGTGACATTCACAAAAGTGCTTACAACATATCTTAGTTAAATTCACTCTTATTTTGGTGGTGCTGGGATGAAAGCAGAGCCTTGTAAATGCCAGGCAAGTATTCTACCATTGAGCTATGTCCCTAGGTCCCAAATAATGTTTTATATTGAACTGGGTGCAGTGGTTTGTGCCTCTAATCCTAGCTACTTGGGAGGCTGAGATGGGGAGGATCTCAGTTTGAGGTTAGCCCCAGTGGCAGGGGGAGGAATTCATGAACCCCATCTTAACAACTGGCATGGTGACACGTGCCTGTCATTCCAGGCTACATGGGAGGCTGAGATCAGGAGGATCACGGTTCTAGGCCAGCCCACAAAAAAAAGTTTTCGAGACCCCCCCATCTCAATAGGAAGAAACAAGGCGTGGTGGCTCATGTCTGTCATCTCAGCTATGACAGGAAGTGTTGCAGAGTTGCAAAAACAGAGTTGCAGTCCAGGCCAGCCTGGAGAAAAAGCAAGACTCTATCTTAAAAATAACCAAGCAAAAAGGATTAGTGGCGTGGCTCAAGTGGTAGAGCGCCTGCTTAGCAAGCGTGATGTCAACTTCAAACCTTTGTAACAAGTATGCGTGTATGTGTTGACTATCTCCTAGGTAATAGTCATTAGAATGAGTGCTCCACAGCAAAGACACTTTGTAGTTCACTGCTATATCCTCTGCCTTGAGCAGTGTCTGGCTTTTGCTTAATTCATGTTTGAGGTCTTTTTGCTAAGAATAACTTTTTATGTTTTTTTTTTTTTTTTTTTTTGGTGGTGGTACTGGGGTTTGAACTTGGGGCCTCACACTTGCTAGGCAGGCATTCTACTTCTTGAGCCTCTTTGCCGTCTTTTGTGTTGGGTATTTTCAATGTATGGTCTCTTGAGCTATTTTGTCCAGGCTGGCTACAAACTACAGTCCTCCAGATCTCTGCCTCCCTAGGATAATAGGTGTGAGCTACTGACTCCTAGCTTTATGCTTTATCTTTTACTGGGATCTGTTTTTTACAGATGTGGAGATGATGAAATGG